GTCTTACCCTAGCTACTTTTAGAGTTGGGTGCATAGAACCCTAGCTACTTTTAGAGTTGGGTACATAGAATGCAGTCATCTATGTGAGTGGGCCAAAGAAGCCACCTACATGTATATAACAAACACTAACCTATTTCTAAAGTATAATATATGTATGGGTTTACACTTAATTCGATATGTTTTTTATAAGTAAAATTGTTAGTTATTACTCTTTATTAAATTGATCTTATGATACGATTTTAGAGAATTACAATTTACTAGCTAAATATCCCTTTTAATCCTACATATTAGATTTTTTTTCCCTCGATATATCATAACGCTGAAAATGCTAGTTGTCACTTAAGAAATAAACATACTTTACTTCTTCAGCATAGTTGAATTAGTTTCTGCCAACCTAACCAGAAAATGACCACTAGCAATTAAATTTAAGTTGGACAGAGAGTGACACATCACAGACAGGCGGAGAGGCAGCACATTAAAAGACGAAAGAATAGCGAAACAGCCACTGGGCTCGATCGTTAGGTAGGCGTAGGTTCCTTTATGGTTAGCAATTAGCTTAGATAATAGTTACAACTCCGTGGAGCATTTGAGTCCAAAATCACTAGATTTGATATAATTTTAAAAAAAAAGTTCGTTATATTGTAGAAATTATTTTTTTAAAAATTTACGTTGTTTTGTATCTGCGATTACTGGACATTCAATAAATTGAAATTTTTTTATAAAAAATATGTTTATCCTTAATTAAAAAATTAGGAGCTACTCGAAAAATATTAAAAATTTAATGATAAGGGTATTACAAGTATTTTAATTACAAATAAAGAGAGATAAAGCAGAAAAAAAAAATCGCACGAAATATTATATAAATTTTTTCTCACTATAGAGATATTAAATCTCTAAAACTAAAATTCAGGGTTGGGATACGGTCACATCCCCCACAGGGGTTGTGAGATTCACAACTAACTTCCTAACCATTGGATACACTCTCTGTCCTGTCTCTCTCTTCTTTCTTTGGAATTGATGGTTAGGATTAAAATAAGGGTATTTTGGGAAGGAAAAAATATTACCACACCCAATCACTCTCCCTCCCATATAAATACATAAAACCCTAGCTCCTCCTACCCTCCCTCTCCCTCCTCCTCTCTACCAGACAGATGGAACCGCCGCCCTTCAACGTCGTCGCCCTTCACTGTCGCCGCCCTTCACTGTCGTCGCCGCCCTCCACAGCCCTCGCCGCCCGCTGCCTCCCTCCACCCCTGCGGCGCCCTCCTTCGTCGCTGTCCAGCATCCCTACGCCTCCCTTCACCCTCTGCCGAGCCCTCCACCGTCGCCGCCTCCACAATCCTCCGCCTCCCTCACTCCCTGCCGCCATTGCCATGCCTCCTCTCCTTGCCTCTTTCGGTGTGAGTCCCTCTGCCACTATACTCTTCCTCTCCTCTCTTTCGTTTATCAGATCTGTAAGTTTTGGATTTTCAGATCTGGTTTTTTTTCCTAGTTGTTTTCTTCTGATAGTGGTACTAGATGTAGTGGTACGCTACCACTACCATTTAGTACCTGGTAGCGGTACGCTACCACTATCAGGTAATGGTACCAAATGATAGGTAATGGTATCAAATGATAGTGGTACGCTACCACTATCAGGTACCAGATGGTAGTGGTACCAAATGATAGTGGTACTCTACCACTACCAGCTACCAGATGGTATTGGTACCGCTGTACAGGTAGTGGTACCAGTGGTAGCGGTAGCGTACCACTAGCGCATTGATGGAACGGTAATTTTTTGCAGGTGGTCGGAGCTAGTATTATTCAAGAATTTCGCCGGAGAAACTTTGTCGGTCAGAAAGTCAGTTGGTCGGAGTGGTGTGTCTTCTAGGAAAGGAAGAGAGAGATAGGAAGAGAGAGTTATATTTATTGTAGGATTTAAATTTAAAAAAACATGTATTTAATATGGGTTTTTAATTCCCAATCTGTAATTAATAGGAAAATTAATTAATTAATTAATTAATTCGTTTTTTTGTCATACCCAAAATGCCCTTGGTTGTGAATCTCACAACCCCATAGGGGATGTGACCGTATCCCACCCCTAAAATTCACTATACAAAAGCCGAAAAAACACATAACTTTCTACTGAATATATATAGATTCAATAAATCGGTTGCCGAAATCATTTAGTCCAGACCAGCCTAGCGTGTCTATATCTCCTGCTGAAGGGAGCTATTTGATACGTGTCATTCCATATACTAATAACACGAGGCATCAACTGTTTATGTTTTCCGGCAATTCAAATCGATTTATTACTACGTACGTAAGATTGGTGAGATCTGAAAGGAGAGGGGTTCCAGACTTCCAGACTTTCCATTGAGTCGTCAGCTTGCATTTATGCATGGCCATTAAATAATGGGCAACAAGGCAAGGACAAAAAAAAAGGTCAGACCTAACCACTTGCAGCTACATTGGTATACTAGAATCCAAGATTAGCTAACCCATCAAGAACATGTGTCCAGCCACGAGTAGTTGTCTTTACTTAGATAAACGAAATTTTCAAATGGGTGCGAGGCGTAGTTAGTAAAATACGGTACGCCAAAGTTACGTATAAAATACGTATGGGTATTTTACTTTGTCTCTATCCGAATGTTACGTTTAATAGTACGTAATAGTCATAAGTATATAAAAAATAATTATTGTAAAAATAAATAAATATATAAAAATAGTAAATTTTAACAATTTAATTCATTAAATACGGATAATAAATGTGTTATACGGGTTTTATACGCGTTTAGTACGGGAGCCATCAAATGAACGGAAATAAACGAAATGTCTTGACAATAATACGGATATGAAAGTTTTAAACGGATAAAATATGTATGGGTACATATACGTGTATTAAACGGAGTATTTACTAACTATTGTGCGAACTATTTTATTTAATTTGTCACGGAATATTGGTGGTGTTGATGGTTCACTCAAAAAGATTTTGGCATAATCTGAGAAGGCAGTTCATAGGTCTAAATAGGGGGTGCATCCAATTGTATGCGATGTGTGCCGTCCGATTCACTTCCGTCGGAAAATTTTATGAGAAATTTCAATTTTGTTAGTACAAAAAAATTCAATATCGCCAAAGTAGTTTCGATAATTGTAGCCGAGCACCTCCATCATATTATGATGTTAATAAAATTTATAAATATTTAGGAGTTATCTTATTTTTATATTAAGGTGGTTTCTACCGTGCATTCACAAAAATGATTGCATTATACTATGTACCCAACTCTAAAATTAGATTTGAGACATTAAATTAGATTTTAATTGGTGGCATTAGTCTAATATGTTGGTATAACTTATGCTTACAACTTATCGATGGATATTCCTAAGCTCTAAACCTTGAACTTTGAAACCCTACCCTAAATCATAAACCCTTCAAGTCAATGTAAACCTTGAAAGATTTTTGTGCAAATTAATACATGTTTTTGTCCATCATTGACATTGTTTTGACATGAATACCTGCTCAGAATGATGATTATGAGGTAGGCGCATAATAAGCACCACAAAAGTGAGTGCTCTGATAAAACTTTTAATTGAATATACCTATTTAAATATTTTTGAATTGAGAACCCTGATTTCGACCCCTACGTCAAACATGATTGATGTGGGAGCGGATAGGGTGCTAATTAAAAAAAGAGTTCTTTGTTGAATCCTCTACCTCACCTATTGCAGAATCTTGACACAATATGCGATGAAAAAGTAAAATTCATCACAAATTGTGCACTTTTGCAATGAATTTTGTATAGTCTCAAAAGAATGTGTAGCTAAAAGTGCAGTTTCTTGAAGTAACTTAGCACCCTTAATGCCAATTATTATGAGTACCATGAAGAATACCACAAAACAAAGATAAAAAATACAACAAACTACACCACAAATATCATAAAACATACCATAAGACTTATAAAGCATACCAGAACCTTACCACACCATAAAATTCATAAAGCATACAAGAAAACTCAAAGCAGACCACAAATCCCTGAAGTACATACCCGAAACATCATAACGCATACCACAAATTCCTTGAAATAGGCCACAAGTTTCTTAAAACATACCGCAAGTTTCTTAAAGCATAACACAAGTTCCATAAAGTGACACAAAAACCTCATAAAGCATACCACAAGTTTACAAAAGAAGCTCCACACATATTTTAATTCAAAAATTTCACTCCCACGTGTAAAAGGTTCTATGACCATTTATTTCACTTATTCTTTTTAATAAAATAAGTCTTCGACGAATTGAAACAAGTTAAGACTCCCCTTTATATTCAGAATTGGTTGAGTGACCAACTTAAGAATAATAGTTTAATTGTGTACATAAAAAAAAAAGTTCGATTCACAACATAGTGATGAATATATTAATTTTTTTTCTTCAGAATATGAAAATTATCATGGCGCGTGGTGACAATAATAAATTTAATAAAGTAAATATTTTATTTATATGGTTATTTTTTGTCTAATATATTTTATTTTTAGGTTTAAGGATTTAAGTTTTATGACTTTGGATTTATAATTTATGGTTAAGGATTTAAGATTTATGGCTTAACATAATTAATAAATTAGTTGTGAACCTATATTATATAATCATACTATACTAATTAATGCTACCTATTAAAATTAAAATTCAATGTTTTAATTTTAATTTTAAAGTTGGGAACATAGTATGCACTCACGCACACCCTATAGGTCACCCTGAATTACCGGGAAAAAAATATTATATTGCAAATCAAATTTATATGTTTTGTTAGAAGAATTTGAAATTAACAAAGAAGAGATCATGAAACATCCAGAATTTATGATCGACACATAAGTTTGATTATCCACTGAATATTTCTCGCTTACTATGGACTATCAAAATATTGAAGAAATGAGACATTGCCATTCTCGATCACCAAAAAAATCTTATACAATTTGAGGGCCAAGTTATGCATTATTTGAACTTTTTTTTCTTTTTCTAATCAAATTAATGTTCGTTTTAGGCCTATCTCCTGCACTGCAGTTGCTTCATGAGAGGCCGGACATCTTTGAATTGGTTAGTTTTAGAACGTTTAATTTCTGACTTCTTACATATATTAACTCCTCTAACTCCAAAACAAGTCATGTTAAATTTTTTTTTTTTTTTTGCATAACAGGAGGAGAAAGCCAAGAAAAGGAAGAATTACATGGGGGAGTGAGGGGAAGAAGAGTTACACTAGCGGGAAACAATCCAACGAGCAAAAGAGACTCCCTGCATATCGTACTGAATGATGGCCACTACTTCTGTTGGGCGGTGTGCAAACACATGAGAGATAGACGAGACTGTGCTCCGAGAACCAGTTTGCGGCTCCCTTCTCAATATACATGAGCAATGGGCACCAACGAGTCACGACTAATTACTCTCCTGCAAAATTAGACTCAACCACTAGCTGGCAGTGCCCAAACTTCCACGCGTCATGTCAATTATGTTTGGATTATTCCTAATAGCTCATAAATTTATATGATTCTTTATCTACGTGAGAATCATTTGAATAGAATGTTACCATTTCTTTCTTGATCACTAATATTGCAGAGTGGTCACCAAAAGAAAAAAAAATGGGAGTGCATGGTTATAATTAAAAGAGCTGGGCAAAAAAATTGTACTTTCATATATAAACCAATGGGGAGAACGTGGGCCTTCTTGGCATATGTTAGGTGAAAAATGTGTGAACGCTCATTGCTGACTATTTACATTAGTAGAGCATTTAATACTGGACCGTAAAGTCAGAGATGAGGTTTGTCCAAAAAAAGAAAGAGGGCAATTCACTTCGAAAGAAGTAAGAAGAAAAAGAAAACACAGATCATAGAGGTGAAGACTAGTGCTCCACTACTCTTACCTCCATCAGCATTCTGATCTCTATATATGCAGAGGAAACCATTTCTTGTGTGGGAACTAAAACACCTCCACCCAATAACCCTAATTAACCAGAGGAAAGAAACCAGAAAACAGTAATGATGGAACCCCAGAATGAGCCGCAGCTGCCTCCGGTGAGCCCCAACGGCCTCTACTTCAACAGCTCTGCCGTTTCCCTCGTAATCCTTGCCGTTTTGGAAACCGAACAACCCATCAAAATCCCACCTCACCAACTCGTTTCCTTTCTCGACACCTACCTCCTCTCCCTCCACCCTCGTTTCTCCTCCGTCATTGTAAGCACACAACAATGTGCTGCTACGGTTTGAAGTTTTATCTTCCTCTTTTTTGCTGTTGAGATCAATGTTGTCAAAATCGCGTTTTAAAGTTTAAAAACTTACGCTTTTATGCTTATAGGTCACCTAAACGCATTATCATAGTTTTTTTTATAACTATTGTAGTTAAAAGTTTACGGTTTTATACTTTTAGATCATCAACGCGATTTTACGTGGAAACGTGCTTTTGACTACATTGTGTACGATCAGGTGACAGGGAGGGACGGAGAAAAACGATGGAAAAGGGTGGGAGTCAACCTCAAGGACCACATCAAGACCGCAGTTTTCCCACAAGGCAAGTCGCCGGAATACTACGAGGGCTGCTTCAACGACTACCTGTCGGAGATATCTGCCGAGCAGCTGCCCGAGACGCAGCCGCTGTGGGAGATCCATCTCGTGAAGTACCCGACGCTGAACGCGGCGGGAAACGTGATCTTCAAGATTCACCACGCCATCGGAGACGGATACTCACTGATGGCGGCGCTGCTCTCTTGCTTCAAGCGATCCGACGATCCTTCTCTCCCCCTCACTTTGCCCAGCCACCGAATCCGGAAGCTGTCGTCGTCGGATGATGGGAATGTCGTTGGTGCTGGGAAGAGGGCGGCGGTGTCGAGAGTGTTGGCGGCGGTTTTGAGTACGGCGTCGGATTTGTGGCTCAACTTTTCCAAGACGAGGTTTTTGGAAGATGATCTGTCGCCGATACGGTCCGGAGATCCGACGGTCGGGCTCCGGCCGATCTCTGCGGCGACGATGACGTTCTCTCTTGATGAGATCAAACAGATTAAGAGTCAGCTTGGAATGGTATGATAATATGGTTTTTCTATAGACTAATTTAATTTATATACTAATAATTATATTAATACATTCTTGTTTATTAAGTTGGATAAGAAGTCAGGATTATTAGAGGAAATCCTAAAAGAAAAATTATGATAACAATAGTCCGAAGAGAAAACTAGTTCCTATGTGAAAATTTTGATTTGATTTGCTAATGCAGAGTAACATTTTCTTCAATAAAAACAAGGGTTAATATTTTCGTATGGCCTGAAGTTTGACCAAAATAAACATCATGACCAATCTTTTCGATCTATAACATTCTGCCCCGAATTATACACCAAAATAAACAATTTGGCCAAACCCGATGTTTGACCGTTAACTTGGACGGTCAACGCGCCACGTCACTGTCAAGTCAAAAGATCTGATAAATATTTAAATTTTTTTATTTTTGGTTTAACTAAGGTATTAGATGATTTTTTTTAATTTATAATAATTTAAAATTAGGGAATGTGTTGAAATTGTGAATTATTTTAAATATTTTATGCTGATTTGGCAGTGACATGGTGCGTTGACTAACGGTCAACGCGTTTGACCGTCCAAGTTAACGGTCAAAAGTCGGATCTGGCCAAATTGTTTATTTTGGTGTATAGTTTGGGCCAGAATGTTATAGATCGAAAAGATTGGCCAGAATGTTTATTTTAGTCAAAGTTCAGGCCATACGAAAATATTAACCATAAAAACAATTCACCAACCTTCAATGATCATTTGGTGATATATACATTAAAAGTGAAATCTTGGTAGTTTAAACAATTCATATAATTTTATAATAATTTCGGCATTATGAAAGATGGACTGCATACGTACTTTGTAGGATGTTTTTTCAATAAAACTCTGACTATCGTACACCACTTATAACATGACTGAGAATTACGATGACAATATTACGTACTTGGAGCATGCAGACTGTAAACGACGTGATAACGGGGGCTGTATTCTTGGGAACGCGACTGTACATGCACGCAGTGGATCCAGGATCTGACGGCGCAGACACGACAGCGTTAGTCCTGCTTAACACCAGGATGCTACGAAGCTACAACTCCATTGAGGAGATGGTGAAGCAAGAAACGAATTCCCCATGGGGAAACCACTTCTCCTTCCTCCACGTCACCATCCCCAAGCTCACTACTTCTACTACTGCAACCTCAAACGACAGTGATGATGCGTTGGAATTCGTGAGGGCGGCCAGTGCCATCATTCAAAAGAAACGACATTCTCTCGCTGTTCCCCTCACCGCCAAACTCCTCCATCTTTACAGGAAACTCAAAGGATCCGAGGTATAATACATGCTTTCTATATATTTCTTCGTTACAATGACTATAATTAGGTAGAGAGAAAAAGAGCGAGATGGAGTTTGTTTGTTTATACATGGATCTGGCTGCAGGCTGCAGCAGGTTACGTGTACAGGGTGATGAAGAGCACGAGCATGCTGATTACCAACATGATTGGTCCTGTGGAGAAAATGAGCATGGCTGATCACCACATCAAAGGCATCTACTTTTTGGTCTCTGGAAATCCGCAGGTAATTTAGTACCTCAGATTTTCTCTTCTTTGTACCTCGGAAAAACAAAATACCTCAGACAACAAAGATAGATACAACATTCAATAGAGGAATTTTACAATGCTATATAACATTGGTGCTATAGGTTTTTCCCTTTATGGTACAAATTGAAGTTGTACCTTTAACGTTATGGTACACCTTCAGATTGTATCTATACTTTTTTGTCAAATTGTTTTATGGTACAATTTAAACTTGTACTTTCATTTAACGGTACAAGTTTAAGTTATAAAGTTATGGTACAACCTGAACTTATACATTTAACGTTATGATACAACTTTAAGTTGTACATTAAAATACATAGTAGAAGTGTTGAATTCAATAATGAAAATGGTAGGTGATGAAATTGGTATTATTATTGACTTGCAATGGTTGCAGAATGTTCAGACGACAATAGTAAGCTACATGGGAGAGCTGAGGGTATCAGTAGCAGCGGAGAAAGGATTCATAGATCCCAATACGTTCAAGTCCTGCGTTGAGACAGCCTTCCGCCTCATTCGCAAATCTGCCTGCACCGCTTCTCATTAATGATCACTTGGTGGAAAAGCATGAAGCTAACAGTGAGATGTAACCCTTCAAGCAGTTTGAATTTACTCTTTCTCGTACGAGTTGCTGTTGACAGTTCGTGAACCTCTTCGACCCTTTTTTCAATAACGTGTATGTACTTATAATATGGTGTGTATTTCTGATTTTTTTTTTTTTGAAATATGGTGTCTGGTTATGGCACCTTCGCAGTTTCACCAAAGTTATTTATTAGCTCCGACTTGCTCGTAATATGAATTTCCATTTGCATGAAACCAACGACTAATTTCCTCCCTCCCCTAGATCAAACTGGCTTAGGATAGGGTCAGTAACCGTTGGTTACTAACCTATTAGTAACTAAATCTGGATCTTTATATCTAAGTGGATTCAGAAAATTCAGATATAAGGGTTGTCAATTAAAGACATTTTATTTTTCTTAGTTTTCATAATCGGCTCTTATCTTCTTCGTTCTAACTCGGATTTCAATTTTTTTTTGCACAGATGGAACGAGCTCGTTATGCTCTACAAAATGAGATCAATTTTCAATATATTTCGATAAACTCTTTTTTACCAACTACATACCATATGGTAACTTCTTCGTTTTTAAGTCGTTTTTAAAAACGTTTGCTCAGAAGGAACGAGTTCATCATGATCTATTGGATCTACAAATTTCTGGGTGAAAAAAATACTGGACCAAAAATTATCATACATTACCAATATGGTATGTGGGTGGTAACTTGTGATAACTTGTAGTAAACAATGATGAAATAAGTCGTAAATGACAGTTAGTATACTCCTACTATATATCATGTATTCAACCTTCTTACCATATTGGTATGTTCATACCATCATGGTACGCTTTCTTACCATATGGTATTAAATAGGAGCATACCATATGGTAATGACCAGTAAAAAATTATTCAATTTTTAGTACTAAATATATATCAAAGTGGATATCATTTTAAAGACTACCTTTAAATTTAATCTGATTTAATTGTGCAAAAAAATTTAAATTTCAACTTAAAACAAGTCGTCCGTTAAGTCATTCCCAATCTGCTTTCATAAAGGGCAGATCCATTGCTGATAATATTTTACTTGCTTCTGAGTTGGTGGGTATCAGTCCAAGACTATTAGTTCTAGGTGTGTGGTTAAAATTGATCTAATGAAGGCCTTCGACTCTGTGAATTGGGAATTTTTGTTTGATGTGCTAACTGCTATGGGGTTAAAAGGGAAATTTATGAACCTGCTTAGAGCTTGTATTTGCACTCCTATGGTTAGTGTGTCACTCAATGGTGGATTATGTGGTTTCTTTGGCATGAAGAAAGGGCTAAGGCAGGGTGACCCTTTCTCACCCTACCTGTTTACGGTTGCCATGGAAGTGTTGGATGGATTAATGAAGAAAGTTGCTCGAGATAATCAGATCCCCTATCATCCTCGGTGCAAGCCCCTGGCCATTACTCACCTTTGCTTCGCTGATGACTTGTTAGTGTTTACTAATGGATCAATTCGAGGGGTGGCAGGTATTATGCGTTTGATGGAAGAGTTTTACAGCTTATCAGGCCTTCGATGTAACCCTGCCAAATGCCAGTTATTTTGTGCAGGTATTCCAGAGGAAGAAAAGCAAACTATCTCTGTTTATTCTGGATTTCCTCTAGGTCAGCTGCCTGTGAAATACCTAGGTGTCCCTCTTATCACCAGTAAGCTATCTAGAAGAGATTGCCATGTCTTAGTGGATAAGATAACTCATAGAATTCAAAGTTGGAGGGCAAAGCTACTGAGTTTTGCGGGTAGAATTCATCTTGTCAACTCGGTATTATCTAGTATTCTGCAGTACTGGATGAACATATTTCTGTTGCCTAAATTTGTTATATCAGAAGTTGAGAGAATATGCAATCAGTTTCTTTGGGATGTCACTGATACTAGTTTGAGAACTAGAGCATTAGTTGCTTGGAAATTTGCTGCTCGGCCGAAGAAGGAGGGTGGTCTGGGGATTAGAAGCTTTGTTGTTTGGAATAAAGCGTGTGTAATTAGGCATGTATGGAATGTCCTTATTTCTAGTGGCTCTCTATGGGTTGCCTGGGTGCAACGTTACCGTATCAAACAGAGGTCTTTTTGGGATCTGAAAGAGGGAGCTGCTGGTTCCTGGATTTGGAAGAGATTTTTGAAATGTCGTTCTGCTATTCGTCCTTTTATTTCTATTCAGGGGGAGCTCACTCTCTGGGAGGGTGAGCCTATGGCTCGCTATTCTGTGAAAAGAGTATGGGAATCCATTCGATTGTCTGATCCTCCTGTGATCTGGTATGAGCTGGTCTGGAGTAAGGAAGTGATTCCTCGGCATGGTGTTGTCTTATGGTTAGCTATCCTAGGCAGATTGAGAACTCAGGAGAAATTGCTTGCTTGGGGAAAACCGGTCTCAGGGTTCTGTGTGCTCTGTCCGGGGGGAGTTGAAACATGTCATCATCTTTTCTATGCTTGCCCCTATATGCAGGCAGTTATCACTAGTTGTTTGGCGTCCCTGGCACCTGTTAGTGGATTGAGTATGTGGGAAGAGGTGATTTGCTGGTGTGCCAATGAGTGGAAAGGAAAGGGTTCTAAAGCAGTAGCTTGCCGGGCTGTATGGAGTCTTGTTCCCAAATGGTCTTGGATTTGAGGCGATATATTTTGATCCACGCAACCCAGAGTGAGCCACTATTTGCTAGTATTGCCCACAAGTGTCTTATAACACATGTTTTGTTCCATACTCGGAAATCCTTGATTCCCAACCCACCTTCAGACCTCATTAGCACTGCAAAAGACCAGGCAGTTGGAGCTCGCTGCCTTGCACTACCTTCACCCACACCCCATAAGAACTTATTACAAATCCTCTCAATATCATCCAAAACAGATGCTGGCAAAGTAAACACACTCATCCAAAACTGCAAGACGCTGGAGATAACAGATGAAATCAGTTGGATTCTACCTGCATAGCTTAGGGTTTTAGCATGCCAGTCTCTAATTCGAGCAGTAATCTTGTCAACCAACACCTGACAATCAACCCTGCCCAGCTTCCCTGGGATCAAAGGGACTCCCAGATAGAGAACAGGGAGAGAGGCAAGTGGGAATCCTGTACAGGACGAGATAAAAATCTTCTCTGCATCAGGGATTCCAGAACAGTTGACTCTTCTCAGGATTACATTTGAGCTCTGAGCATCTATAAAAATCATCCAACACCCTGCGAATACCAGCAACTGCCCTCACAGACCCATTTGAGAAGACAAGTAAATCGTCTGCGAAGCAAAGATGAGTAATCCCCAGCTTCTTACATCTGGGATGATAAGGCACCTGATTATCGATTGCTGCTTTGTGTAACAAGCATGAAAAAACTTCCATCGAAATAGTGAAAAGATAGGGGGACAAAGGATCCCCTTGTCTTAATTCCTTTCCCGCATGAAACAGCCCACAAAGACCCCCATTAAAAGCCACTCTAAAGCTAGGAGATGTAACATAAGTACGAATCAGCTCAGTATAGGAATCAGGGAAGCCCATAACAGTCATGACACGAAACAAAAACCTCCAATCAACTGAATCAAATGCCTTCATTAGGTCAATCTTTACTACACAACGCGAGGTTGTGGATAGTTTGTGATAATCCTTAACTAGCTCAGAAGCCAGAAAGATATTGTCACTGATAATACGTCCCTTCACAAAAGCATATTGAGAAGAACTAATAATTTGAGGGAGCACTAGAGCCATTCTATTTGCAAGCAGCTTAGCAATTGCCTTATATAGCACGTTACAACATGATATAGGCCGAAAATCCTTCATACGTTCTACATTTTGAAGCTTGGGGATCAAGGTTAAAATGGTAGAGTTTACCTCTAGAGGAAGCAATCCATTTCGAAAGAAAGAAAGCACAGCATCAGTCACATCCGAGCCAATAATCTCTCAGTCAGCTTTGTCAAAGTCAGTAGGATAACCGTCAGGTCCAGGGGCTTTATTCGCTTCCATAGAGAAGAAAACAACACGAATCTCCTCCCTTGATACTGGCTTAGACAGATTCTCCACATCCTCCTGTGAAAGCTTGGTCCGAAGTAGACACTCAAAATAACTGACTGGCAGATCAGCAACCTCAGAGTTGGCTCACCAAGTAGCTTCCTATAGAAATCAACGGACATCTGCCCCATCTGGCTTATATCTAAAACTACCTGCCCTTCATCATCAATGAGATGGTCAATGGTAAGCTTTTTGTTACGAGCTTTAACATACCTGTGGAAAAAATCTGAATTGCCATCCCCTTCATTTATCCAGGACGCCCTCGGCTTCTGCCTATAAAAGGACTCTTCAGCAGCTTGCAACTCAGAACATTTAACCGCCACCTCCTTTTCAAGAGCCACAGTGACAATACTAGGATCAGCCAAGACCTTCTCCTGAGCCTCCTCAAGCAGCCTCTCTGCCTCACGAGTACGACCTGAGATGTCAGAGTATTGAGTTCTATTCAGAACTATCAGCCCCCGCTTTAACCTCTTAAGCTTCCTCAAGACTGTTTGGAAACGATCAGCTCTTGAGATATTATCCTAGGACTCCCTAAGTATATCCTGATACTGCCGATGACTCCTTCAAAACTTATAATACTTGAAAGGCTTAGGAAGACTTTTCAACTCATTTGCTGAGTTAATAAGTATGCCACAATGGTCTGAAACTCCTGGACTAATAGTACAAGTAGAATTGAACTTATGGACATCTAACCAAGGATCATTCACTAATACTCTATCAATAAGCTTGGCAATAGGATTATTCTCTTGCTTATTCCCCCAAGTGTACCATGATCCTGCAACTTTGTGGTCAACCAGTTGCATATCCTCAATCCATTCCCGGAGGTCTATCATGCTATGAGTTAGCACCATTTAATTAGACGCCTCATTAACTTCAGCAACGACATTAAAATCCCCAAAACAATCTAAGGACTATTAGTAGTTTGACATTTAGCTAACTCTTTATATAGCTGCTGACGCTGTCCAGACTTGTTAGGACTATAAACGGCAGTTACCACACTTTCTTCCAAACCAGAAACCACTTTCACATGAAGAAAATGCTCTCCAGACTCCAGCTGAGTGACCTGCAGACCATTCCTCCATAACAACCACACCCTCCCAGAATTCGAATTACTATAATTGTCCAAATACTTCCAATCACCAAACATAACATTTCTTATAGAACCAGAGTTTTTAAAGGAGACCTTGGTTTCTAATATTGCTACCAAATCTACTTTA